AAAAAAAAAAAAAAAAAGCCTGCACAAAATATGCTTGATTTCTATCTCTATAAACTTAAAATTTTAAATCTCTCCAAGGGTCTAAAACAGATTTAGAAGAAATAGAATACATTTCTCACCTCACCATTAAGTAACTGACTTCAAAACAGTGCAATCGCCCTCAAGGTATAAATGAGCAGCTCTTTATAATTTATAAATCCATCCTAATATGAATGTGATTGCCTTGATTCATCAGGGACTAAGATGACCACTAACCTTCTAATTAACTAGAAAACCTCAACTTTTGAAAAACAACCAACTTTATAACTTGGTAAAAACAGGCAATTTTTCATTTATAATGCTTATGATATTCAAAATGTTCAATTTGACATTCAATAAAAAGTAATTACAGTTTGTGAACAGATTTTGTGATCTTGCTTGGTTTCTGTCAAACCAGTTTTAGAAAATGATTTCTCTATGCTGGTATACACACAATTTTTATGCTATAACTTTCCCCATTAGCTCAGCAGGACAGACATCAAACTTTACAGTTGTTTGAAAGCCTTCTTGAGAATCTGGTGAATTGTCCAGATATAAAGACAACATCACTTAAATTCTTAGAATGATGCTCCTTCATAAACTCTGTTCATCCTTGAAAAAAGACAATGATTTGTTACAAACAAAAGAATTACCATTTACAGATATTAAAAGTCTTAATTTCAAAAATGGATCCGATAATTTACACATGTATGCACATTTTATAATTTTAAACAATTTTCTTAATAACCTATGGCAAAATAAAAACATTAATTTTCCAACTTCGACATTTTAAAAGGAATTTCCTTCTAAAATGAGAAATTATAATCTAACATGTTGATCTCCAATTTTTAAAGTCCAGTTTGTTTTTTATATTCCTTTAAAGGGTAACTTTTAGATTTATGAGACTTAATGAGTAAAATGACTAATTAGTAATGAAAGTAGTACTGAAAATAATGTATGATACACACAAAAACTGTATAGTCAAGAGTTAAAATAGGTAGCTACTTTATGAAATGACAAAGGCGATGTAGCATACTGGAAAGCTATACAACTACCCTTTTTAGAAGAAAATGAAAAAAGTTTTGCAAACATAATAATCCGAGTATTATAGTACAGCAGTCATTCTAGTATGTCTGAAGAAAATTACTTTCCTTGTGCACATCTAACACTGTACTTTTTACCACTAAATCCTTATAAACTTTTCATTTAAAAATTCACTAGATTGTTATAGTATGTTAACATGGAAAAGACTTAAAATTAGTATTTTTCTACAACATAACATTTCATAAAGAAAAATATCACTTTGCTTTATTTAACATCTTGAAGGCTTTCTTTCCTGTTGGTGATATAATGTAAGTGCAAAGGGCAACAGTAAATTAGAAATATCTTAAGTAAATGAGTGACAATATAAATATTTTCCAACGTGAGGACAAAAACATTTATTTAAAAACCTTGTTATGTATAACTCAAGGGGTTGGCTTTCTAATCAGCATCGTTTTACTGAGAATTTAGTACTAACTAAAATAGGTTTTGTATTCTTTCTTATTTCAATTTAATTTAAAATTCAAATACCATGCTTTTCATTCAGTTGGTTACTTCTTTTAATGTATTCAAAAACGTTGAACACATACAGAACTGAATTAAGAAGCAACAACTGCCCTGTGGAAGAACTGTAGTTAATACAGAATGTTTTTAAGAACCAAGGACAAGTTTTCAGTACTGAAGAGAATGTACATAGAAAGCACTTTGAATTCATTACTAACTTCTTCAACACCATAATGAAATTCTTTTAAGGGGATATTTCTCTTAACAGTTTTACATGATTCACAATGAGAATGTGAAAACACGTCAGTTTGGCAATCAACACTTCTTCATTGCACCTTACTTACTTTATGCATGCGGCCCACACATTACTTCAAGCTCAAGAAGCTGGGTTAATTCTGTCCCTAAGGCAATCAAGGCGCTCAGCACAAACCTTGAAAATCATTTTTAAAAAGATTTTCTGTTCCTCATTTTCCCCCATCAATTTACAAGTAAACAAATTATTACTTCTTGAAGAGGGTGGGGTTGAAAAGCAGAAGTCTCTTCATGATTCCTGGAGCTGAAAATTTCTTGAGGGGAGAAGTGGAGGCAGGTGTTGGGACATTCACAGTTTAATGCAAAAAGCACAAATGAATGAAATCTGTAGTTGCTTTCAGGCAGTTTTGCGCATAGAAAAAAAAGAAATGTTTAGAAAATAAAATGTTTATTTTGTCTTTCTGGTGTGGCCAAGCCAGTCCATTTTCCACCTTCACAGATGAAAATTTAAATCCCAAATTAATCTGATTTGTGGCAGTAAAGGTCCTTAAGTGCTTTTAGCTCTTCAATCAGTGTCTTGTTTTGGTTTTCAAGCACTGCCACTCTGTTTTCTAAACATTTCACATATTCTTTCTTCTTTCTACGACACTCTCTCGCTGCTTCCCTACAAGCAAAAGACAGGAAAAATTACGCAAATTCTAATTTATGTGGGGTTAGGCAGAGTGCTTAAAAAAGAAAAAGTTCAATGCACAAAAGTTTTAACATACAAAAGGGGGCTTCTAAACATTCATGTAAAATGAGTACCATGAAAAACTATGGATTTCAAAAATTTTTTCACCATAATAAACTCACACTTTAATTCCATTTTTCCACAGACTTTTTCAAGTACCCATGTACTATTAGGCATTCGAAAAGATACATGGAAATTGCCTTATATCGAACTTTAATTTTAATGTGACATACAAGGTATGATATATAATTAATAAACATGAAAACTCCATAAAAAAAGAGTTAAGCATTTAAAAATCACTCTATTCATGAAAATCTTCTGCATCATACCTACAAAATTTGAAATTTTATCCATTATCAATAACAAAAAAAATTGCTATTTCATTGTAAAATAGAAAATCTTATAAACTCATCATTTTAGGATATCAAAAAAATATGTAACACAATAGTCTGTTCAACAAATGGTGTTGGGAGAACTGGATATTTCACGTGAAAAAGAACAAAACTGAACTCTTACCTTATATATAATCTTAATTTAAAATAAACCAAAGACCTAAATATAAGACCTAAAACTAAAATTTCTAGACGAAAACATGGAAAAAGCTTACTGACATTGAATTTGGCAGTAATTTCCTGGGTACAACACCAAAAGCATAGGCAACAAAAACAAAATAGACAAACACTATGACATCAAGTTAAAAAAACTTCTGCAGATCAAAGAACACAGTGAAAAGCCACTTTATGGAATAAGAGAAGATACTCGCAATTCAGATATCTGAAAAATGGTAAGTATCCAGAACATACTAAAATTCCTACAACTTAAGAAAATAACCCAATTTTAAAAACGGAACATATCTTGAATAGATTTTTCTCAAAAGAAGATATACCTACAAATGGTCAGCACATATATGAAAAGAAGCTCAGTATCACTAATCATTAATTAAATGCAAATATATCACCTCACAATCACCAGGATGGCTACGATGAAAAAAGACCATCAGAAAATACCAAATCCGGTAGGGATCTGAAGGAACTGGAACCGTATGTGCTCCTGGTAAAATGTAAAATGGTAATAGCTAATACAGAAAGCAGGATGGGGGTTCCTTAAAAATGAAAAATAGAACTTACTATATTACCTGGCAATCCCTTTTGTTACATATCCAAAAGAACTGAATGCCGTACCTCAAATATACCCTGTGACTGCCCATGTTCACGACAGCATTATTCGCAATAGCCAAGAGGTGGAAGCAATCCAAATGTCCATACAGATGAATGGATAAACAAATGTGGCACACACTTATGATCTGATCTTTTTTTTTTTTTTAAAAAAAAAGGCCTCTTGCAATTTATAACATGAATGAACCTGGAGGGCTGTTATGATCTGAATGTGTCTCCCAAAATTCACATATAACTGCCATTGTAATGATATTAAGGTGGAGAGCAGGTTTCATAGCCTAGAGATTAAGAAGTTAACTTCTTAAACTACACATCCTGACCTGGTGTCTTGAAAAATATGCCAGTAGCATGTACATACACGCCCCCAATTCCAACAGGATGGAAAAATGGAGAATGGCATGATAATGCCCCACTGGAGGGTGCTTTCTCTCCCCATCTTTTTTTTTTTTTTTTTTTTGAGAGGTTTTTGCTATAGGGCGCATGCGCTCGCCAGACACAGAGACAGAAAGTGAGAAATCACCCCCCAGGGGGGATGGTCATGCTGCAATCCCTTCTCCTCCCTTCTCCTCTCGGGATCTTGGGCACGCACACACAAGCGCCCGGCGTGAGTTTTAAGCCACTGGGTCTGGGACGTGAACCGCGGTCGACTACGTGGGAGTCCAGTGACATAGCCATTAGGCTAACTGCTGGTTCCCTCTCTCCCCATCTTGATCAACCTCTCTCCAGTGAGCACACATGCTCTCTGGCATTTTATAAAGAACGTAGAGACATCCAACTATGGAATTAAAATGTGGAGCCTATGGAAGGTAATTAGGATTAGATTAAGTCATCAGCGTGGGGCCCTTGTGACTAAATATTGGTGGCTTTATCAGAAGATGAAGGAGTGGGCCAGCCCTACACCACAGTGGGTTAAGGGAGCCAGATCCTACAGAGTTGATCACAATTTGAATCCTGGCCTTGGTGACTTGAAAAACATACTGGGTACATGTGTGTGCTTGTCCAAAACCCAGAAGGGAAGGAAAAATGGAGGAAAAAAGACTGTAGTGTGACTAATAACCCTTTGCAGGTTGCATTCTCTCCCTTTGGAAAGTACATGTACCCTTTGGCAATTAAAAATAAAAGGGTGACAGAGTGACCAGAGGTGACATATGCACTCTTGCCCTCTTGACATGCGATGACATGTGCTGCCTCAGGACTCTGTGGAATCACCATCAGCAAGAAAGCCCTTACCAGATGTAACTCTTTGGCCTCGGACCTCTAAAACTGTGAGCTGAATAAACCTTTACTCATTATACATTACCTAGTCTACTGTATTATGCTATTAGCAACAGAAAATGGATTAAAATAAGGATATTATGCTAAATGAAATATGTTAATCACAAAAAGATAAATATATAATTCCACTTATCTGAGGTATCTAAAGTAATCAAATTCATGGAATCAGCACTTAGAATAATAGTGGCTACCAAATTCTGGGGGAAGGGGAAATGGGGAGTTGTTTAATAAGTAAAGGGTTTTAGTTTTACAAGATGAGAAAGTTCAGGGGACTTGTTGAACTGCAGCATGAATATATTTAACACTACTGACTACAGAATTTAAAATGTATTATCCTAACCATTTTTTAATGGTTAGGATAGTACATTTTAATTTATACTTTATCACAATTAAAATTTTTAAAAAGAGCTAAGAAATCACAAATAAATCATTGTTTAGCAAGCTGCTAAGTCTAAACTAGGAAATGCTTTTATATTAACAGTTTTCAAGGGCCACATCTCATTTTTTATATCTGATGCTAGCAGAAGGACTAGCATAAGGTAGATACTTACTGCTGAATCAACATAAAAATTGAAACCAAAAAGCTTCTAAGTCTAGAAAATGAAAAAATGGGTACTGAATAATGGTACAACAGTAAAACGTGACACTGACCTACAAGAAGAGGTCTGGATTTGCATCTGGAGTCCTCTCTGAGAATGCTGGGCATGCACATGTCTGTGATCTGGGATGACTGGAAGATGGGGGTGGATTGTGGCATCAAGGCCTCGTTGAGGGTGCTATTTGTCTGTCACACTACTCATGTTAGAAATAAACTTTTTTTTTTTAAAGGTGCAGCAATTTACCATACTTTTTTACAACAGGGGCCATATAATGTAGTAGTTAATAGTATCTTCAGTCCCAGATTACTGGCTTTCAGTGTTTCTACCACTTACCAATGATGTGAGACACACACATCTTATTTAACCATAGTGACATTACTTTAGTTTTCTGACTATAAAAGAGAGGTGACAGTATTTTCTACCTCAAAAGTTTTGGGAATTAAATTAGTTAATACGTGTAAAGTGTAATGAAACAGTGCCTGGAATTTTGTATGTGTTAGCTATTATTTCTAGATTAACTCAGAAGATAATGTATTATAATTCTATTAATATCTTGACTCCCTTATAACCTATCAATTCATAACAAAGGAGCATTTACTACTACTTCTACATTTTGTTTTTTTAATGGAAAATCAACCCTCCAGGAGAGATGGTCACTGCAATCCCTTCTCTACTCTCTCAGGATTTTGGGCATGCATGCATACACACACACAAAGCCTGCATGATTTTCAAGCTGCCAAGTCCGAGGCTCAAATTGTGAAGGCGGCCATGTGGGAATCCAGTCACTTCAACCTCCAGGCCACCTTCTGGCCCCAGGAACATTTACTTCTAATGCCAGCCAATTGTTAGAGTTAAAAAACAAAAACAACTACATCTAATGTTGTATTATCCATGACAGATATGGAGAATATATTATCTGCATCACTTTACCAATGGGGAAAATTTCTTTGGAAATAGATTTAAAAAAAAAAGAAAGAAAAAGGCCTAACATTCTCCTGAACTGTAAAGGTAAGAGGCACTTTTGGGCAAAGAAGAAAAAACAGTGGTCTAGAACAGATTATAGAATGATTCAGAGATCAATTTGGATCTTCTCTATTTGGTAAATTCTAACAATATAGAGAAGATGTAGGATGTATATACATTTATAAACCAAATTTCATCCAGAGTTGACTAATCTTATTTCCCTCACTTTCTCCTATCCATGACCTGAGAATTGATAGTCCTGAAGCGGAGCATCATGCTATATCTACCTGCTAGTTTCCAAAGTCAAAATAATATGAATAATAGGAATGGCCTTAGTGGCCTAGTGATTAAGGGGGCTGGATCCCACATGGCTGACTGCGCTGACTTGGTGGCTTGAAAAATACATATGTTGTGTGCCCAAGATCCCAACAGGATGGAGAAATGGAAAAAATAGCAGGATGACCATGCTCCACTGGGGGAGCGGGGGGTACTTTTTCTCTCTGGTGAGTGTATGTGCCCTCTGGAAATTAAAAAAAAAAAAAAAAGATTCCTAGGTTAGTATCTCCCAATTTTCTTCTACCACAATCAGAACTGTGCAATGCTTTTCAAAAAAAAAGAAGAAAAAAAAAAAAAAAAAACCCACCTTACACTTGTGCTAAGAAAATTAACTTATTTCTAGATTAATGTGAATTCAGACTCTGCAATTAAGAATTCCATGTAGTTATGTCTCAAATTTACTTTGATTACATAACACTTAATTGGAGGAAGAACGCTGTATAAATTTCAAATATAACATTTTTGCAAAATTACGTTCAAATTAGCCACATTTTAAAACTAGTAAGTTTGGATATAAATTTAATACAGTATAGGGACCAGCAGTTGGCATAATGGCTATGTCACTGGACTCCCATGTAGTCGACCG